AAGTAGAATCGAAAAATAAAAATGTAGAAAGTAGAATCGTAAAGTAAAAATGTAGAAAGTAGAATCGTAAAGTAAAAATGTAGAAAGTAGAATCGTAAAGTAAAAGTGTAGAAAGTAGAATCGTAAAGTAAAAATGTAGGAAGTATAATAGTAACGGAAAAATGTAGAAAGTAGAATCGTAAAGAAAACAAAATAGAAAGTAAAATCGTGAAGGAAAATCATAGAAAGTAATCAATCGTAAAGTAAAAATTTAGAAGTAGAATCGTTAAGTAAAATGTAGAAAGTAGAATCGTAAAGTAAAAATGTGGAAAGTATAATCGTAAAGTAAAAATGTGGAAAGTATAGTAGTAAAGAAAAAATGTGGAAAGTATAATAGTAAAGAAAAAATGTAGAAAGTACAATAGTAAAGTAAAAATGTAGAAAGTAGAATCGTAAAGAAAAATGTAGAAAGCAAAATCGTAAAGTAAAAGTGTAGGAAGTATAATAGTAACGGAAAAATGTAGAAAGTAGAATCGTAAAGAAAACAAAATAGAAAGTAAAATCGTTAAGGAAAATCATAGAAAGTAGAATCAATCGTAAAGTAAAAATTTAGAAAGTAGAATCGTTAAGTAAAATGTAGAAAGTAGAATCGTAAAGTAAAAATGTGGAAAGTATAATAGAAAAGAAAAAATGTAGAAAGTATATAAGTAAAGAAAAAATGTAGAAAGTAAAATCGTAAAGGAAAATGTAGAAAGTAGAATCGTAAAGTAAAAATGTAGACTGTACAGGGATGTTTGGCATAATGGTTTGAATATGATTAGGAGAAGAAATGGTTGAATGTTACAGGGTGTCGATCTTACGAAGTAAAAAAAACCCCTACAATTTAAAGAGATTAATCTATTTAACGTATCTTTGTGAAGACCAGACACAAAATGACTTCAAAATGTCTAAAAACTGTTTTTTTGTTTCAAACTTTTTTTTGGAAACCCTGCACATTTCACAGGTGTGGTGGTATCCATAGTATCCAAGGTATTCAAGGTATACTAGAGCTACACCTTGGTTATCAACAAAAACATTTGCTTGTCTAATTAGTGCAGTGTTGAGGTATAGGCGTTGCAATGAGAAGAGATAAAGAAATAAAGAAAAAAAGGAAGGAAAAAAGAAAGAAAGAAAGAAAGAAAGAAAGAAAGAAAAAAAGAAAGAAAAAAGAAAGAAAAAACGAAAAAGAAAGCGATTCATGTCAATCTAAAGTAAACTGCACGAAAGACAAGAAGAAGAGAAGATACAGATGATATAGATTTTCATCATCCTCTGAAAACAAAATCTTTCGTGGATTTTTTTAATTTATGGATTTTCAAGAATCGTAAAAGTTCACTTTTTTCTGGGCAAAATTTCGACTAAAAACAAATATTTACTGCTTTTCCACAAGAAATTTGTGCCCGTATAGGCTCAGCCTAGTTGATGTTTATTAGGATACAATCAAACAATCAGACAAGCAAAATATATCATACACACAGAAGAATTCCAGGGCTTATTGGATTTTCATTTCATTTTTCTTAACATTTGTTTCGCGACCAAATTTGGCCGCTAATATCAAAATATCAGAATAATAAATCCTAGCATTCTTCCTAGTCATAGTCTACGTGAGTTGATCGGAACGTCTCTTTGGCTTCATAAATTCAGGACTTCTTTTCTTGAATAAAAGGCTTAAGCTAGAGGTGCACGGTTCAATTGATTGACCAGTTATTAATTGAATAAATATGATTAAACGAATATATGTCGCAAAATTGAATAAATATCAATAAACGAGTACATTAATAACAATAAATAAGCAAGGAAAATGTGCACAAACTTTTAAAAGGGGTAAATACAACAATCAATTAAATCCCGTCATTTTAAAGGACTAAAAAACCTCACAAAGTCCTTGCAATAAGCTCCTTCCCGATAAAATTAAGCAATACGTTGTAAATCAGTGAGGCATGGTTTACAAACAAAGAGAATAGAATATATATTAGAGTGGAATTTAGATAATCTCTCGGTATGAATTTTGTCAGTCCCTTTCAGCATGAAAGGGAGTTCAATGTGAACAAATCATGTAAATGTTCACAAATTATATGCAGTAGAGTACATTAATACAGTATGTTTCCTAGACTATCCATTTCAATTTCGAATTTTTTAAAAGCTGTTAAATAAACTTAATAAAATGAATTAGGTGAATAAAAAACACCATTTGATTTATAGTTATAACGGAAAATCATCGTTTGTAAAGTGAAAAGCATAAAGTCTATGTGAAATGATCATTGGTCAATTATGAAACCGGCCTATTTCATGATTTGGTTTTCTTTTAATATCAATTTTAGATTCACTATAAAATGATGTTCCAGGGCCCAAAAGGTTATATAGCACAAATATGTGAAGTACACCTGCAGTATGGAAACAGCAGGTCTTTTTACACTTTTTTCTAGTAAATTCCACTCTAATATATATTCTATTCTCTTTGTTTACAAAACTTATATTCTATATAACTGGTCTCTTCATTTACTGTCCGTACTGCAGTGTAAAGATCGTACTGCAATCTCGCAAGAGGCTCATCTATACACAAGGATCTTCAGGGGTGTCATAAGACAAAAACGTCGCGTAACAACATTTAATCATAGAGAATAGAATATATAGAGAGGAATTAAAAGAATCTCTCGGTATGAATTTTGTCAGTCCCTTTCAGCCTGAAAGGGAGTTCAAAGTGTACAAATCATGTAAATGTTCACAAATTATATGCAGTAGAGTACATTAATACTCTAATAATAATAATAATTCTCTATGGTCACGATAGAGAATGTTTGGGTTGGCCATAGATTAATAACAATACAGATAGAAGACTAGATGTCGTCTTTGCAAGATTTAAGGGTTTTTCGTTCACAATAACCATGAGGCAGTAGCCCAATGAAGTTCCGCGTAGGCAGCGTTGAATTACAAGGCAGAGAGAGAGCATGCACGTAACGCCACATCAACATTTCAATTCCGGCCAACATAGGCCGATCAACATTTCAATTCCGGCCAACATAGGCCGATCAACATTTCAATTCCGGCCAACATAGGCCGATCAACATTTCAAATCCGGCCAACATAGGCCTATCAACATTTAAATTCCGGCCAATATAGGCCGATCAACATTTCAATTCCGGCAAACATAGGCCGATCAACATTTCAATTCCGGCCAACATAGGCAGATCAACATTTCAATTCCGGCCAACATAGGCCGATTAACATTTCAATTCCGGCCAACATAGGCCGATCAACATTTCAATTCCGGCCAAATATATTTGTATAATATACTGGAATAATGAATATATTACATTTATGGGGGGGGGAGATATTACTGTAATTTTTTTAAATGATTAAATCTAAATCCTGTTAAACCCCCAGTAAACCCGTATTAGTAGATCTCAACAATTCTACATTATTTATTAAACCTCTAGATGCACTTTATATCAGTCTATACCTACATATAGGGGACACAGGGGCGGTATAACTGCAATTGTACATTTAACAACCCCCTCCTAACAAAATGTCTAGTTGGGCGCCTGAACCTTTTATACAATGCACGTGGATTTAACGGTTCTGTTATTCCAGAAAGCTGTGACTTTCGATCACAATTTGACCCATTAAACATAATTGTTTAGCCTTCTGTCTTGGATACTTTTTGTCAGCCTATGCATTTTGAATGAAAAAGTTTAGAATAAACAAATCTGAAAAAGATTGTTGAATTATAGACCAAAATACGTTTGATTTCAAATAGAAGAAACCGAATGCTGCGCACTCTGGTTAATCCGGGGTGAGTGTGGACACAAAAAAAGACCAGACAAAATAAAATAAAAAAGTGTTCAAAGAAAATTTAAAAAGTTAATTTTCATTAAAAATAAATACATCATTTATGAAGAAGAAAATAGCAATATGTCAACAAACTTACCACTCCCCGGCTCTGAAATAAAGGGACTGTTAGCGTAATTTCATGTAAATTAACAACAAACCTTTTATCTGAGTAAAATTATGGAGCAAAACTTTTATCTGATCAAAAAAGTAGTTTAATTATGATAATTTCTATATCGCTTTCCTGCAGTTAAAATGCGCAAGACACTTTTTTAAATGCATAATTCAAAAGTTTTTTGCCAATATTTTTTCCCTGAAATAAAAAATCGTATTACTTTTTGATTTTTGAATATGCACACAGAATAGAAAACTGACAATTTTAAAATTAAATTTTTTAAAAAGAAATGGACGAAAATAAATCAAAATAATTATGAAACAGAAAAAGGGTAAAATAACGTCGTCTTTCTACCTTGAAGAGTGTTAATTCTGATATTTCCTATTGTGATTTTCTGAAGTAGAAATGTACAAGTCACTTTTGCTATAGAGATGCCCCAATTGAAAATAATCAGTTTTCAAAATTGCTATCATGGAGATCTAATTCATACTTGATAAGACAAAGCTTTTAAGGGTACCGTTGTGAATCGGAAATTCCACTCAATAATTGGAGCGTCACAATTGAAATTATGTTTTCATGCCATTTAGAAAATTAAAAAACAAGACAAAAAATTTGAATTATGACTTTCTACGTTTACTTCTTGACTTTTGGTTTCATCTTAAAAGTATTTTCATAGATCAAACTTTTTCGTTCAGGGTTACCCACAAAAGATAAGACTTCAGAGAGGACTGTACGGAATTAATACTCTATTTGTTTCCTTATATTTTTGATTTCCCACAACTATTAAGATGTTTCTTTCTTTGCCAAATGATTATAATAGTTAATGAAGGACCAAAGCAACCAAATTTACCCTTAAAAACGTCATATTTTTAAGTGTTTTATTTCGTCTTAACAGTATTATTTCTTTATGGTAACCATGTCTCATACTTAATTAATTTGAACTAATGAAGCATCTTTTAAATGTTTCCGTTCATGTTTCATTTTAAACCTCACTTTAAAATAGAAACTAATTGATTGCAGCTATATAGAAAAATTAAAATATAATGATATACAAATTTATTAACTTTGAAAAATACATAAAAATCTGGGGCAATAACTTTCATCTTTGCGTCACTAATAATTTCAATTTGTTCTTTTTTCTGGCTATCACAGGGTTTATAGTGGTTTCAAAGGAACCTGGAGATACAGGGTTTATAGTGGTATCATGGGAACCTGGATATACAGACTTTTTAGTGGTGTAAAGGGAACCTGGAGATACAGGGTTTAAAGTAGTTTCCTGGGAGCCTGGAGATAAAAGGGGTTGTATTGGTATCAAGGGAACCTGGAGATACAGGGTTTAAAGTGGTATCAAGGGTACCCGGAGTTATTAAAGAAACAATCTTGCTCTCTCCATCTCCTCCACCTCTGCAATACTCTCCTGTAGATCTCCAACAAACCTCTGCTGATCGTTGTATGACCGGCAAGAGAAGGTTGCAGCCATCCTGCCGTTTAACTTCTCCTGCAGCTGAACTCCGAACTGATGATGAGTAGTTCTGAACATGTTTACTCTGAGTCCTGCCAGGTTTACACTGCTCCTAAACTGATGAATCTGCTTTTTCCGACTCTTCTCCGTCTTGGTAACTACAAGAAGATCGTTGAAGAGAAATATACCACGCTGGTGAGCATCCTTCTTCTCCTTCCTGTGCATATCTCCGACCTCAGCAACCCTGCAGAAGCAAACCAACCTTCTCCAGGTTGTGTTCAGTTTAGGTCTCTTTGATCCAGTTATAGTCTCTTGAACCCGGCTCACCTGGGATACATGATCCGGGCCTTCCTTAAACTCTGTAGTCTTGATCCGGTCGTAGATCCCTCTGAGCATATCCGGATCCACATCTGCTCCGTTGTCGATCCCTCGCAGATTTCGGAGAAATCCATCCTGGCGCATTTTCCGCTCCGGTTTGATGGAGTTGTTGTGTAGGTCGGTGTTGAGGAGCACCATAGCGTAGCTCAGGATGAAGATAGTATCAGGAGAGTTAAACCCAGATACAAACATCTGGTTGCACTCAATATACCTCCTGGAGAACACCTCGACCAGTTTTTCAATCTTCTGTGCTTCTCCGGGTATATGAACCTCTGAGAGAAGCTGTCGAAGTGCAATATCTAGATGCAGACCGGAGAAATCCATGTCGTAAATCATACAATGCAATACTGCCAAGTTGAATGGTTTCTGCAAATTGCAAATATACTCTCCGACCATTTTCTTGGACAATCCTTTCCGTCCTATCAGAAACTTGGCAACTGCAGGAGGGGTTAACTCTATAAAATCCCTCTTAGAGAGATAATTGATTCCTCGGTCCGGGTTGGTGTTGAACAGGTTGAGACCTACCCTGTAATATCTTCTTCTTACAGTTTCATCATCCTCTGTCTCATTCTCCTGGTCTGAAGCTGGCAGCTGGATACGAACAGTTTTCTTTAATTTGTTCTGCTCCACAGGGGCCCTGGAACCATAAAATTGGTCCGAGGGGAACCTGGATCCTCTGGTTAAATGTTCATGTGATGAATTATTGATCGAACCATAAATATCCTGATAGGTTTCGTAAATTTTAGATTTAGATTTATCACAACAACAGTTTGGAGCATTGCAGGGGGATAAATCTGAGACGTCTCTGGGTATAACTGTAGACCTGTAGAAATGGGCTGACTCCGGACTAGTCAGGAAGGTTGGAGAGCTCACCCAATAGCTATAGGGATCCTCAGGAATCTCAGTAAAAACCTGATGAGGAGTAGATGGGACGGATTCCGTCTCTGTACTTGAGGTACTCTCGGAGCAAGATGATCTGAATCCGCTGTCTATGGAAGAAACACTGTCACAAGGAAGACGGGGTAGAAGCATATCTGTTGGCGGAGGCGGAAGAGGCTCAGAACTGTTTTTGATATGAGGTGGAGGTATATAAGGCGGAGGGGGGAGCGGAGAACACTTGGCACTGCTTTCATTTCTCATTGGAGCTTTACACACCCCCTGGTTGGGACTAGAGATAGATCGGAGATGTAAATTTTGCTCTTTAACCCGGTTTTCACAAGACGGATTGACTGGGTTTGCTCTGGGTAGGATGGAATCTGACAAGGAGATTAGACGAGACTCCGGAGAGGTTTGCTGCTCCGAACCCAGGAATGAAACCGTCCTCTGTGGTGGACGGGGAGGGAGGCGTCGAGGACGTCTAACTGAACAATAAAGAGAGTCTCTAGCGAGATAGACAGGTTCAGGATCAGGATAGAAATCCTCTCCTCTCAGGGGAGGACAGGGGGGTACAGGAGAACCTGTAGGTGAGGCTGGAGGACGATAAAACTGCCTGGTCTCATCTCTATTCTGATTCATCTTGTTCTGAAGATCTGCAGCAGTCCTGGGCCTGGAACTGGAACCAAGATCTTGCCCTGAGCTAGATCTAGCATGCTCAACCTTGCCATCTTGCTCCTCTCTCCCACAGTAACATGGTTTTTCTCCGGGTCTCTCAATAGGCTCAAATCCGCTCCAGGAGCCAGATCTTCTATGGTCCCGGAGAGAAGAGGATCTGTTTACAGTTCCTCTTCTTCTATTGTTAATATGCCGAGCTGCAGGGCTTAGTCCTAAATCATTCTGAACCTGAACGACATCTCCAGAATCTACATTAATCTCAACCTCGGAGATATGAAGATCATCCGTCTCAGCAAATATACTTCTCCGTCTGAAAGAAGGATTTTCGATCGTCTTCGCAAGATTAAGAACCCGTGAAAATTTACTCCTAAGGATATAATCTCTCCAGTAGGACTGTATAACCGTGGCGGCTCTATGCGCCGTATATCTTCCGCCGTATCTGTTCTCCAACACTTGCATCTGCCGTTGAAGGATCTCGGGACAGTATTCACCCTGAAAAATTGAAATTATTAGACAAGCAGAACTAATCTTCAGTTTCCCTTAAAGCGCCATCTTTGGGGCTTTATATTTAAACGTTTAGGATATTTGACCCTTAAAATGGACTCTATTCAAATACTGCGGTTTCAAAGCGGTTCAAATTAAACATTTCTATTTTAGAAACTTGAGATATCTTAGAATGAGATCAATGATTTTCCATTAAAACCTGTCAATCCAGTCCTGTCCAATTTATTTAGAGACCATTTAAAGATCAATGTATAGATTAAACGTCAATTAGAACTTTGATTGACTTAAAGGGACTGTCCACGTAATTTAAATTTAAAGGGGAACATGTTCAATTCACAATAATACCTTTTTTACATACCTTTATCTAATAAATATTAAGGTAAATAAGCTTAAATTTTCCAGTTTTAGCAACAAACTCTGATGTTTTCTTCCCTTTATCTTTGCAATCCAATGTCGTAGACCTTTGATATTTCAAAATATTTATTCTGCTAGATTAAATTCCTGAGCTTGAAATATCTAAGGTGTAAACCATTAGGTTGACAAGATAAAGGGATTAGAAGAATTGAGTTTTTGGCAAAACCCAGTTCCTTTCCTCTAAGCCACAATTAAATATAATCAATTTTGAAAGAGAAATTCTGAATACATCTTTCATACTTGAAACTACAAAGCTTTTAAGGGTTCCTTTGACTTTTCAGAATAGTACATGTCAAGTCTGCATTCCTTTTAAAACAGATCAAGAGCAAATCATTTCTTTATCAGGAAGCCTTAGAGCTTAAAATATCATAGTCATGGAGCTTCAGGACAATTCATTTATTTGTCAGAGAAATTAAATCTAATTTTGAGATAAATTCCTCAATACTCATTAAGATGTAAAGCAAAATAGTTTCAAAAGTTAAAAAGATTGAACCAGATCCTTTTCAGAAGGAAAACTTTCTGATAGAAAATGTCAGTATTTGGCCTTGAAATATTATAGGTGTCCTTTTCAGAGCCCCTGGAGCCCTCAGCCAAGACTATCGTTTAAATAGTTTCCACCCTATCGATAAAGTTCAGACAATTTAGGACATTAGATTCATGGCGGTTCAAAATCTAATATGGCCGCGTGTCAAAACTTTGTTCGTAGATTTCACAATAAATGAGTAAACTACTAAACTAGGGCCCACCCACCTACACTCTGACGGAGCAGGCTAATCAACTGATTGATTGATTGATTGGTCGGAAATTAACTATCCCACGATGATTTAAAAAAATAAAAACGTTCTGTCAAGATTAAACCCCCACGGCTTCAAAGGGACTGTTCATAATTATCAGAAAAAAATCCAAAATTTTATTAAAAAAAAAAAAATTCTGATAATATCATGATTACTAAATTCTAATTTATATAATACTAATATCAAGTAAAAGTAAGTCCTTGAATTAGAAGTTTTAAATCCATTTTTAATTACAACAAATTGAAGTATGGATATACCAATGCTCTAATGTATTTTTAAATTATTCTATGAACCAATGTATACGATATATCAAGAAGAAAAAAAATTTATATTTATAAATGGAAGGATGTATAACACTGCGTCCTAAGGATTGATATGGAGCATGTGTAAAACTAATAATTCATAATTATTTATCAAATTTTGACAGGGCAGACATATGTTCATGTGTATCCATGTCAGAAAGATAAACATAGAAAATATATTTTGAATTACCTTATATGAACTTAGAGACAATTCTGTATTTTGTCTGAGATGTCTGTATGGACGGAAACCTTTGTCTCCTTCCATGTTTCCGTATTTTCCGGGTTGAATATTTAACGGAACTTGTGGAATTACTCCGCGCTCTTTTGACGGACTATTCCGTTTACAAACAGTTGCGTACAACGCTTCCATGTTATCCACATCAGATTCTAGCCTTTCATTTACACTGTTATCATTATCTGTAGGTTCTACGAACCGAACTGATTTCACGAGGTTAGAACGAATATTACTCCGGGTAGGAGGTTCCACTGTATTCCAGTCCACACGTTTGCCAAAACTGTTGTTGGAGTCGGAGAGTGAGACGCGTAAACCGGCAGATGCGGAGCATACACGGCGGGGCGGCATCACGGGGCTTCTATACACGCTTACGTCACACTAGAACATTCCCTTGGTAGAAAAGAGTAATCAATATTCTGATTTTAATAATCAAAAACTTAGAAAATATTCTAGACACGTCTGCTCTCTGCTACAGTCAGTGGTCAACTGGGGTCAGGTGAGTTGTTTTTAGGTGTCATTTGGTTGACCCCCCCCCCTCCCACTCACCCTCACAATACCATCTGCCGTCGAGGGGTAATCATTTCTTAAAATAAGCAACAGCTGCCTCCATCTGTTCTGTTCGACCAATAAGAGACGAGGAAAATATATTTTCCACCAATTGGAGACGAGATTGAAAGCAGGTGGAGAAAGAACTCAACACACAGTGTCCTGGACCCTTAAAAGTACTCGGACCCAAAGAAGGGTTTAATCAGAGATGAAGGAAGGATGGAGAGGGAGAGGTGGTGGTAGAAAGGAGAACATAAACAAAGAAAAGGGAGAAAGGAACATAAAGAAAGGATGAAAAGTGAAAAGTTGGATTAAAATTGATGATAAATGAAGGATGGATGAAAGATGAATGTATAAAATAAAGCATAATAAAATTAGGATGAAAGTTATGACAAAATAGATGAAAATTCTGCAAATTTAGAATCAACAAAGAAATTTAAGCTCAAACTTTCCTTGCACCCTGATGGTGTAAACCTTTGATATTTCAAACTAAGAATGTTTGATCTGAAAGAATTCATAGTGTGAAATATATAAGGTCTGTGACATCGGGTTGCAAAGAAATAAGATTAGAAAATAAAAGCTTGTGCCAAAGGATATTTGATAGAAAGGACGTCCCTACTCCCTATATTAACACAAGTCAGGATTCGTGATTCATGAATCCCTAGATATAGGTTTCATAGGAAAAATCGATATCCCCCCCCCCCACATAATCAATAATTATTATTTAACATGGTGCTATGTATAACAAGATAGGAAGCTAGATAGTTAGATACATAGTTAGATAGATTTAGATACAGGGTGTCCCACGAAACATGACAATTGGTGAATAGTTTTAAATGTCTTCTTCCATATACAGTATAAGATATTAAAGACTTCTTGCAGTTTATTTCGTTAAACAAAACTTTTGCTCAAATATATTTCATTTTCTTATCAATTTCACTGCAATATGACGACAATGTGATATTTATTATAATTTTCTTTGGCATCAAAGAGCTTAACAAATCATGGAAGAAGACATCTAAAATTAATCACTAACTGTCATGTTTCCTGGGACACCCTGTATAGACCATAAAACAAATATGTATGTAGATATATACATATATGACATACTTATGTACATATGAAGTAATATATGTATAGCTTGAAATATGTATGCAGATATATACATATATGACATACTTATGTACATATGAAATAATATATGTATAGCTTGAAAGAAAATAATGCTCATTTTTAAATTGAAGATTTAAATAACTATTTTTGCCGATTTATTGAAAAAACTTTTTGTTTACAGATTTTAAATAATTGAATTGATATGAAATATTTTTTATCTCTGAATGGCCAGATTCCAAATTGAAAGGACTGCTCTGTGTTAAATTGAACATACTATAATTTTGATAGAATCGATAGATTTTATTTTTTTTGCACTGGTTTCATTTTATACAGAGGTTTAGGAATTATTATCATATTTCTTTATTTTTCTTGTATGTTAAAATAATTGTACATATATACGACTTTAGTCATGTTCACTTGTATCTCTTTGTTAAAACAGGATAATTTTAAACATATAATTGTAATTAGTATTCGAATTCAGAATTTAGAATTCAGAATTTAGAATTCAGAATTTAGAATTCAGAATTTAGAATTCAGAATTTAGAATTCAGAATTTAGAATTCAGAATTTAGAATTTATAATTCTATAAGTAGGATCGATGTTTCTTCTAAGTTAAAATACAGATTTAAACCCAAGGTTGATAGTTTAGGACGGTTTTACTCCGTCTACCTTTAGAATCAGTAAATCCCTGAACCTGGATACAATCCAACCTGTCCTGTCACATCGAGATCTACTCAGACTGATACAGGTGGGGCTTTTCACTTTAACCCTGTTCCTATGACCCCTCCCCCCCCCACATTTAAGCCAATGTATAGCAACGAATTCTGCACATGTTGGTTCGCCCTGCCTTAAAATTTGAATACTAAACATGATAAAGTCCTAAATATGTGGTATTTCAACAACTCTTAAACATTTTAAACCATTTCTGTTTCGTGTTTAGGTTTATAATTGTTGTGAAATAAGTATTTACATCCAACCCCATGATGTTAGGGATTCATCGTGATTTTACTTTGACCATTTAAATACTATTGACTTTATCTATTTATTTTTTGTTTTCATTTTCAACAATATTTTATGATATTTCATGAGGGTTTATAATTGTATGCATAGTATCATCCAATGTATTATGATGTTTCTTATATATCTTATTCTATGTTATTTCATGCTCAAGAAAATGTCATAATGTTTTAGAAGGCTCTTTTATATCTTTTTGTGTTCCATGAAATTTCATCATGTTCTACAACGTTTAAAAATGTCTTGTGTGTGAGTCGTGATGTTCCAATACACTTTATGGTGTTGAAGATGATTTATGCTAAACCGTAATATGTACAACTATACAGCTGAAATACACATTCATGCATGCACATTGCAAAATGCACATTCATGCATTTAATAATGTTCCTTGACAGTGAAAAATAACTCGTTATTTTGTCAATTTTCCAATTTTAAGTTTTGTCGTTTCATGATGTTCCATAATGTTCCATGATTATTTTATTATGTTCCATCATGTTGGACATGGAATGTTCCATAATAATAATAATAATAATAATAATGTTGAAAGTCCATAATGTTCCAAGGTAATTTATTGTGTTCCCATCATACAGTCCATGCTGTTCCAAGGCAGTCGAAGTCCATGATGTTTAAAGGCTGGCGATAATGTTCCAGAGGACAGTCCAAAATGTTCCCAGATAGTCCATAATGTGATATAACAGTCCATAATGTGCCATAACAGTCCATAATGTTCCAAGACAGTTTATCATGTTTCAAGATCGTTTATGATGTTTTTTGACAGTCCACAATTTTCCAAGTCATAGTTATATACATCCTTGACAATCCATAATATGCTAAGGCAAATCATAATGTTCTAAGATGGTTCATAGTTTCCAAGATAGTCCATGGTGTTTCATCGGGGTTTCATTTGAGAAGACGTAGCACTTTTAACAAATTCAATAGTTAAATTTTTTTGGACAAATACATAGGTTTGACAACTAACAATTTATGTATATATATATATATCAAACTAACCTTCAGAAGGTAACAAAACCAGGTTTTAAGGTTTTTTTAAGAGTTTCCCACTCTGGTTTTCCACAGTGGTTTCCCACTGTGGTTTTCCACAGTGGTTTCCCACTGTGGTTTCCCACTGTGGTTTCCCACTGTGGTTTCTCACTGTGGTTTCCCACTGTGGTTTCCCACTGTGGTTTCACACTGTGGTTTCCCACTGTGGTTTCCCATGTGGTTTTCCATTGTGGTTTCCCACTGTGGTTTCCCACTGTGGCTTCCCACTGTGGTTTCCCACTCTGGTTTTCTTATATGTTTTCACTGGATATATCTTCGTCAATACATTACCCTAACTACAGGAAACTCTAACCTTTAACCTACAGGGTGTCCAAAATAAAATCTTAAAAAGACTTTCTAAATATTTCTACATGATAAAATTGTTTTTAAAAATGTAAAATATTAAAATTCAAGAGTCGTGATCAGAAAATTAATATTTTTCTGGGAGACCCTGTATCATCATTAAAGGTACAAATATCGAGGAAAAGGAGGGACGGGGGGCTATCAATATTCAATAACTTTTTATCATTCCTGATGATCGTAAGTGTGTGACTTTTTTTGTAGTTTGCGTACATTTTCATTGCAATTGTATGTACATTGTACAATGTATTAAACTTTGAAAAATTAATTCAATGTAGATACATAAAACATATTTTCTTGTTTATAAATTGTGTTTTATTATCACCAAAAGTATTTAAACATTTGATAAATATTTGCTGAATACCATTATATTATAAACTTCATTTAAAGTAGAAGACAAAATAGTAATACTTAAAGGAACATTCCTTTATTAATGGACAGATGGCACGTGGATTTAGCGGCTCTGTCAATATTTTTTAGAAAGCTGTGACTTTCGATCACAATTTGACCCCTCATACATAATTTTATAGCCTTTTTTCCTTTACTACTNCTGGCGGACTGACCATATTTCTAATCATATATCTCTCGTATTACATTTTAAAAAAAAAAAAACTTTACATTTTTGTCGATATTTACTGTAATATTAAAGATTTTTGCATAACAATTTGAGAAGAAGCTCTCAAGTAAACAACAAATCTACTTCCAAATCAGAATTTGGCTTTTAGATCGCATTATCGGAAGAGCTTCAAGTCGTGATTGAAATATCGTCCTTTGTGATGTGGGTTACCCTGTTTAGTTCCAATCAACTCCTCACCTATCTAAAAACATATCTTGATATGTGTAACCAATCATATTCAGTATCGTTAATTAACTTCGGGCCAACAACTCAAAACAACCAACCCTGGTTAGGCGGGTCCAAACTGCATAGTAAATTGTGATTGCTTATTTGTAATATCTCATGCTTTGTAGTTGAATAAATATATGAATGAATGAATATGAATATTACAATTTCTGATTAAAAATTATATTTTCAGATTAACAATGGATATTTTCTCTTGCTCTTTTTAAGCTAACTCCGCGCGATGAACGGATATACTGTATAACTTTTATTTAATGTTTTGCAGATTCAGTTGCAAATTTTAAATTGTGCAAATAATTCATTATCAGACCGGAAGTGAGAAGAAAGTAAAAAATGGCGCGGGCTCTATTTGCAATATTTTCTTGAAAGTTGCACTGCACACACCATCTAATGATTATAAATAGTCACTTAAAAATATAGAGAGAGCTTCTAGGAGCAAAAAGTTCTCAGCTCAGGTTGCTCAAATAGGCAGAGAACTTAAGCGTAATTTTACTTGTGACATCATATACACCAATACAACCTGGGAGCTCTCCAACATCCTGCGAGCTACTTCAACACCCTGGGAGCTACCCTAACATCTTGAGAGCTACTCCAACA